ATGCTGGAGCCAGCCAGCCTGTGCCTGGAATTAAAAAACAAAACAAAACAAAACAACAAAAAACCCCTAACCCAAAACAGTGCTGCTGCAGAAAAAAGACGTCAGGAGTCTCCACATCGGAAAAGCGCTTTCTCTTCTCCCACTCCCACGCCCCTCACAACGTGTCCTTGGATAGAGAGAGCATTTCCACTACTAAGACCCAGTCCAAACACTTCTCTTTTACTATATACCACAGCAGTCCAGACTTTGCCTAATGACTGACTTTTAGACCCAGATAGTTTTCATGAGGAAGGAAAAAAAAACATCGAGGAAAAAAAAAAAGTTACAGAGCTCAGAAACAGCATTTATTCTGTTATAAAACTGCACTGAAAGCAGCAACAAAGTCTCCTTTAAGAAGCAGTTTGCTGCTGCCTCCTCCGAGTACTTGTAATTCCAAGGGGATCAGCTGGCCACGGGAGAAATAGCTGGGGCTTTGAGAGCGGCTCTGCCCTCTCCTCTACCTCGCTGCAAGTTCCCATGGGAACGTGGCGGCTTGGCCCCTGCAGTGCCTCGGAGATCTGGCACAGGGCACCCCAAAAGTGTAGCATGGCTTCCATTGTATGAAGAAGGCAGGAAATAAGGAGGGCTTTGACAGACTACGGTAAGGAAAAAGCAGGACAAAGCCTGCTCTGCCAAAGCAGCATGTCGTGGCGCTGTGATTTTGCCCCCATAGTGGAACCCAGGGAGAAGCAGGATTTGGGGAAGTCCACGGAGATAAGATTTCTCCTGTGCTTATGGTAATGAGCACTTAAGTCTCAAAGGGTTGGCTTTTGATGTTTCTGGGGCTTCTTTTTGCCTAGCTGCTTACCTGGACAGTGCCTAGAAGCACGGCAGAGAAGAGGAAAGGCACTGTGGATGCTCCAAAATACCAGATGGTGAGCCAAGCTGCAACATCCAACACCAAGATGTGAAAGAGATACAGGATGAAAAAGGTGCGGTTGGGGTTGAGAAGCCCCATCTTCTCGACAGTTGCACGGAGTTCACGGAAATCTTCTACCAGCTTTTTCTGTGGGGAGACCCAAGAGTATCTGCTAGTCTGGAAATACCTCTGGAACCCAAAGAGGAGCTCAGTTTCCCCGCTCAAGGAGCTGCTGTGGCAATGGGGAAAATCTGAGGGTCACCTGGAGACAAATCTTCACTAAAACTACTAATAATGACATGAAGTATAGGGGAAGATTCAGACCAACACAGTGATTCCAAAAGATACTATCATTTTATGTACAGGGAATTCCAGTTACCAGCAAGAGAAGTTGAAGAGCACAATTTCAACCCAAATACCAAGTTTTTGAGATACTTACATTCTTGCTGGGCTCAAAGCTGGGTTGATCTGGTGCCAGTTCCCCAATTAAGAGTGGACTCATGTACTTTCTTACTAGTGCCTTGTCAAGATGAAATGCTATGAAAGGATCCTGAAATACAGATATAGGAACAAGATGAGAAAAACAATCATTCAGGTGGCAGCAAAAGAAATATCTTTCATGATATCCTGGAGAGAAGAAAGCAACCTGACTAATGGAGATGGCTGAACCAGATCTTACTGTCACAAATCTCACCACTTTTTTCAGACCATAAATTATTATTTGAAGCTGAATTCTCTGTATCATTTTCTATCTGGATGCTGTTAAGTACAGGTCACCAAGAAATATGGACTTACTTGCCTCTTACTTGTGAATGTGAACATTTCACACCTGGTTGAAACTGAAGATATATCATCTCAACAACTTTGTCTCTATTTTGTCTTTAGCTTCCACCTTATTTTTCTTCAGGCTCTATATCCTGAAATGAAAGTCTGACTAGGGAGGAGGGCAAGACGTTGGCACAAAAACTGAATCCGCTAGCTGAACTGGGAAAAACAATGGGACAAGCAGGACACAAACAGGTGATGGCAACTCCTGGTGACACACAACAGTCTCTCAAAAACCCCACGTTGTTCCAGACATGCTTCCTTGGCAATCCCCAGTGAACACCCTGCCACATCTTCCTAGAATAGTTTTGTTTTCTTGCTACCTGCCTCCTGTTTCCCATCTGATTTCCCTCCATGTTTCTGAACAGTCCCATGAAAAGGCCTTTTTTTATTTCCTTACCATTGAAAAGATCCCTGTTAGGGAAGACAGTTACTTTTATCATTTAAAGATAATATCAATCTCCATGGCAACCAGGCAGCCAGGGGAAAAAATCACTAGTAATTGTTATCACTGTAGATTCTATTCTATTACTAATTTAGATTACAAATCCCCTGAGTACACATGACAGTTTGACATCTACTTCCTACTGAAGATATCCCATTTACCTCCTTTTGCGTATTTCTCTCCCAGTGTCCAAACTAGCATATATTTTACAATCTCCCTCAGTTTAAGGATGTTTTTCCTTTTCTGAGGCAATATTTGCCCACTGCACATCAGTCTGTAAGCTTCCTGCACCACTCACGATTCAGCACTACAATTACTAGCTCGTCACTGCATGCTTTTAAAATATATTGTCCTTTTAAAAGATCTCTAGTTAAGAAAGGGGTTAAAAAAAACAGCTGATGTTGCCAGCTCTGGGTCAGCCCTGTTGTATTTCAGATGTAGCATCCTCTCTGCTCAGGCTTATGTGACTAGAGGAGGGAAAGAGAAGAGGAGAATGTATTTGCATTTTCTAGTTTGAAGGGGAAAAAAAAAAATGGGGAGGAGTATGTGAGCGGATCAGAGGAGGATGGTACCACACATTTTGACCAATCCCTTCTATGGAGGCTGTAAAACCTGGCAGTGCAATCCTAATGGGAGCTGAAGGGGCTGCAGATTCCACCTTCTAGAAATCAGAACACTCCAGTGGCATTCAGCAAACTAAACATGATCTTCCTTTCCAGTTTTTCTGGTTTTGAGGAGCCTGATTCATTACATTTCCAGGACAAAACGATTTGAAAAATTGGAATTTACTTGGCTGGGGTTCCTGAGCAGTCAGCAGTTCAGCTGCACCCAGCAGTGACACAGATGACAGCACCTAAAGAATGCAGCTGGCAGCAATGTGAGCATCTAACTGTGCTCAGCCTGACGTGCTGGCCGCTGTCACCGACCCACTTCTGATCCCACAATGGCAACGGGGCTTCGAAAATGCCTCTGCACATCCTGGCCTCCTGAAGCATGTACAAAATCACATATTATCTTTGTCTTTAAATTATACGCTTATAATAAAGTGAAGAAAAGCACTAGATCTTGTTTTATCCTTTCTGCTCAGGGAGAAAACTGGACTGAAACAGTCCATCAAAACCACTCTCGAGATAGCTTCAACATCCCATACCTGCCTTTGAGTCTAAATACTTACATTTGGAGAAATGAGTTTTCTTTCATGAAAGACATAAACAGGCAAAGGAAGGAAATACACTGACAAAATCACCCACATCCTGCTGCCAAGTCAAACAATGCTTACTCTGCTTTGCAATAGTCATTGGCGTTCAGACATGTATGATTTAAAAAAAAAAAAAAAAAAAAAAAACAAACAAAAACCCCAAACAAAACACAAAACAAACTGAACCGCGACTTTCAGTAATACTTTGCACTACTGCCATCTCTTGGACAAATCGTGCTGGGTTTTTAAAGTTAGAGGAGGCTGAATGCATTGACATACTTGCAAAAAATAAGTGTCTGTGCACACACCAGTGTCACTATGAGTACCTCGTGTGTTTCTGTTCAGATCTTGCCTGTGGCTAGACACGTGTAAAAATAAGGGTATTCTTATGTACTGTATGGGTGCAAAAATGAATGGGTTTTCCCCCAGATTTGTGGCTGGTTGTGGCCACCCTATTTGCATACATTTCGGTTATTCCTTCAAAACTGTTCCCTTGCAAAACCTCCGAAATTCAGCATGCCCCTTTGCACAGCCGAGCTGACCCGGTAGGTGCGTGGAACACGACCCTCTCCTGCCCCAAGCCCCACCCCCCCCATCCCACCCAGAGATGCCCTGCAAGCCCCGGGGAGGGACACGCCGCCCCTCACCGTGGCGTCCTGCCCGGCGTAGTGGCTGATGACCCGGGAGCCTCCCGGGTGCCTCCGGTAGAACCGGCTGATGTCGTACACCTTCCTCTCGATCACCAGCCAGCGCTCCTGCGGCCCCGGCCCCCGGCCGCTCCGCTGACCGATCTCCTCCCAGGTGAAGCTCCGCAGCGCCGGGCCGGGCTTCGAGTCCTCCATGGTTCGGTTCGGTTCGGTTCGGTTCGGTTCGGCTCGGCTCGGCTCGGCTCGGCTCGGCTCGGCTCGGCTCGGCTCGGCTCCTCGCCGGCCGCCCCCTCCTCCTCACTCCTTCCCAACCTCCTCTTAACGACCTCGCCCTCCCATTGCCTCCCCGCCCCACCAAGCCCCGCCTACCCTCCATTCCCCCCACTCCCATTGGGTCCCGCTCGCCTTGCTCCCGCCTCTTTTTTTTGGAGGGGGGGTGTGGGGGGGACGTTCCTGCACCCGGAGGTGGAGGCAGCGTGGCTGCAGGCGTGGGGTTTGGGGGGTGGAAATCACGGGAGAGGAGCAAACTTCGGGCCCCCCGCAGCAGGCAGCTGCCTGGCATTTCCCCTCCCTGGAAGGGTTCCAGGCCGGGCTGGACGGGGCTGGGAGCACCCTGGGCTGGGGGAAGGGGGCCCTGCCCGGGGCAGGGGGGTGGGACTGGGTGATTTTTAAGGTCTCTTCCAACCCAAACCATCCTGTGATTCTATAATTTTCGGCTGTCCAGACTGCAGTAAATCACTGTACTACAGTGTTGGTGCAGCCATGGGCACAAGGTGAAATTATTTTGAATATGTTTGAGAGCACCCTATAGACCTCAACGTCTTGGTTTGCTCATAAAATAGCCAGTTACTAGATGCATTCCTAAAGGTGTCCATGCCGGTGCCAGGGCTGTTTAAATGCCTTCACTTCCAAGCAGGAAAATTAGGTAAATGCACCTTGATTTCTGATTGCATAAAACTGGGAGGGAACAGTTGGTATGCAAGAAATATGGGCAGGCTGGCAAGAACATCAAGTAGTTCGACATGAGCAAATGTCAAGTTTACTTACTGAGGAGGTTAGGAGCATGAAAAAGGGATCAAAATACCAAGTCCTAGATGGTCCTAGATGACTTGCTATTTGGAAAGGACAGAGGCTTGTGATATGCCGGGTGAAGACACAGGCTGGCAAACGATATCTTGAACCAGATCCAGGATTTGGAGAAAGCAGAAAAGCCAAGGACCTGGGACATCAACAGAGAAAGAATGCATAGGCTCTGCAGTGCAATTCACACCCAAATTGCCTCATTTTAGACCACTTTTGCAACCTGTTTCTCCTCACTTCTGGGCTGAGGATGACTCCTCTTCCCTGCCCTTGGTTTTGTTTCCCTTTCCCAGCAAATTTCTCCCTCTCTGTCCTGCCTCTCCCGTTCAGCTGCCGCAGCCTTTGCTGTTCCTACGGCTGCATTTGGCTGCTGCTGCCTGGACATGCAGCTGGAGGGAGGAAAGGTGTCACCACAGGTATATAACATAAAATGCCTGCTTGATGGGGGTCTGCAGGTGATTCTTCGCACAACAGACTACTGAATAATGCTGAAAGAGTGAATGATTCTAAAATAGACGGATCCATCTGTGTGGGACTTCAGACATACACATTACAAATGTACATTAAAATGCCTGGTTCCACATTCAGCTCCCTTCTTGCTTTTCCTAGTAGCAAGTCTTCTCTCTGAACTCTCATTACCGATTCCAAATTTCTTTGTTTTCATTCACACCTTCCAATCTGACCTAGTTACAGCAATTCCAGTTGAATGTAACCATAGAAACAAAAGCCCACCAGACTGCATCCCTTCTTGTTCTGAACATCACCTGATTGCTACATCATGTCTTTCTAGCTTGGAATTCTATGCCTGCAAAACAGTGGATTGAACACCTCTTATTTCTCTCCCTTTCCCAGTGCCACAGCTACTGTATTGAGTAAGGCATCCCTGCTTCTACACATTTGCACTGTCACCCATGAAAGAAAAGGTTCTCTCCTGATCTCAGCAAAAATTAAGTTGCTTTGCTGAACATCTCACAAACATAACCATGAAATACATTAATACATGCTTAACATCTTTTAAAATGTAACCATTCTATTCAGAACAGTGCAGTAATTATTACAATTTCTATTTTTTCTGGTTATCTATTGCACAAAAGAATAATTGTCCTAAATTTGGTTGATATTTTCAGTTTGACTTTTCATCATGAATACAGCGTTGGCACTGGTCAGTTTTTCCTATACACCACATTAAAAAAAAAAAAAAGTCTCTGTTCCTACTCAGGTTAAACCTTTGGAAGTCTGTTTTAAGGGGTCTTGACAATAGGCAAAAAGCATCACTGAGCTTGATAAATTGCAGTCTTGTTCTCCTCTGATTTCAGCAGGACGGAGAAGCTATAAGGGATGTTAACATCTTGTTATAGGTAGATTAAGGCCAATCACATCCAAATATGGATTAATGAATCTTTATTAAGGTAAGAGAGCAAATGCAGCGCTGGGGTGGCAGCTCCGTCCAGGCTCACCAAATTGTTTAAGTTTCAACCCCCCTTTTATCCACCCAGCTGCCGGTTTCAACACCTTCGGCACGCCTCCTGGCTTCTTCTACAATCTTATCTTCTTCTTTCTTCAGTCCTGTGGTCAGGTACACCCTGTCCTTCAAGTCTGGGCCAATTTGCAGCTCCTTTGTCTTTTATGACTCAGTGGTTTCAGTTCCTCTCTTATCTCAAGGACAAGGGATACCAGAGATGGCCCATTCTGTTCTTTCTCATTCCATTGCAAAGGAGTTACCACCCTTTGATATGGACCATTTGATGAGCATCCCAAGAGGGGGGGCTGTTGGGTTGGTGTTTCCTCAGATCAATTCCCCCCTTTTCTTTTCCCAGTAGTAAAGTCTTTTACGTTTTTTTTTTTTTTAATTTGGATCATTGTACTAATAATAGCTTTAGCCTAAGAAGTAATTGTTTAATTACTTTTAGCGAAAGCAAAATTCTTCTATTTACTTATCACACATCTTATTAACAGTTTTACCCAAATTATACAACAGTCCTTGGAATTACCTTCAAAGCTTCTTCTGACATAAAATCTGTGGCTCTCTTTCTTTTCCTCTCAGTAGATGATTTAGCCCAAGATAAGACATCATGGAGGCAACTTGAATCATCCAGCTCAGAGCAGCGGAGTTTTTCATGTCGTGCCACAAGCTGCCAGCTGTCAGCAGTGGATGGTTCTCCTGCCCTTGCCATACTCAGGATCTCAGTGGGTCTCACAGAGGCGAGAATGAGATCTTTGTAATAAAGACTGCAAGGGAAAACCAGCTGCCATTATACACTCACTGGCATCCTGCATCCAGCTGTGACTGCTGGCATTAACAGAGTCAATCTTCGCTTGAAGACAATTAATGAGGTAAAACCAGACCTGGGCACTCTGTTCTTCCAACAGCATTTCTGCTTTTCAGCCTTCTGACTCCTTGTTTTACCTCCACTACTCCCATCTCCAGTTCTCCTTACTGTCATGATCCAGCTGTCACCCAGCTTCCAATTGAGGATCACCAAAAATCTGAGGGGAGATAAAAGATGCTCTTTGATTCAGTCTTCTGATCTCACTGCAATTCATTTGTAGCATCCTAGATGACTGAGGATCACCAAAAGTCAGATAAAATATATTAAAACTCCTTATGTCACTACCGTGATTTGACTGTAACATACTTTTAAATACCTAAGTGACCCAGGTGATGAGGGATCACTAAGTGCCTGGGCTGGTGACCAAACCAGTAGGGAAAGAGAATTGGATTGAAAGGATGGCAGCCTTTATTTTACCATCATGAAGCAAGGGGAAATGAGTTAAAATAATGGATAGTGAGGTCTGAAGCCATAGAAAATAGGAGATTTTAAAGGAAAACTAACAAATGCTGAAAACCAGCTTAAAATAGCAAAGTCTAAAAGAAGAGTTGGTTCTTGGCTTTTGTTCAGCCTAAGATGCAGGATGCAGCCTTAAGATGCTTAAGATGCAGCATGCATGGGAATTGTGGGGTGAAGATTTACAAGATGCAGGCTGTCACCAGCGCAATTAAAACAGCTACACTGCTGAAGCAAATTCAGGAGGAAACCACCAGTTTTAGCATCATACTCCTCGCAGGGAAGAGCTTGAAGCTCGACAGCTCAGTGTAACACCACTCCTGCATCAGGCTTAGGATCCACAGGTGCATTGGAAGGATTAGCATAACACCAGAAAAAGGGGTAGATACTAGAAGTATTTCCTTTATTCTTTCCAACTGTTGCATTATTGGGAATGAGCTGTAGTAGTTAGATAGTTTAGACTAAATGGGTTAGTATTGTACCTGGAACTATTCGTTTGGATTGCTAACACTTTATACTGAAGCTGAGAATTCAGTCTCAATTTCCTATTCAATACCTACAATAAATTCTTGCTTTTGCATATAAACAGTGTTTCTTCAGCCCATATTAACTGCATGGATTATTTGCTCTGGTACTCTGCCCTAACAACTGACTGTTAAAATTTAGATGCAAAAATGATACATGACAGAGGGAAATAATTCATATATTATAGCAAGAACCACTGGAGGAAGACTGTGATTTGGGAGGAGTTTACATCTTGCCAGAAAAAGCAACCAGGAATCACTATGCATAAGGGGTGGGGTTGCTGAAATAAAAATAAGCATATTTTTTGACCTCCAGAAGATGTAAATTTAGTATCTGAGGGAGTAAAGCAGTAATTGTTTAGAGTTTTTCGCATTTGAAAGTAAAATCTGAGTAAAGAAAAAAGGAAAGAATCTGACTATAACAGGACAACATCAGTAGGATGGACTTCTCATTACAAATTATTACAAATGAGATTATAGTGACAAGGCAGTGTTAAGAACAGAGCATTTCTCTCCTTATTCTTGTCCTGACGGGTACTTGCACTGTCTGCTCCTTTCTGCACTAAACAAGTGTGATTTTGTACCCTGCTTCCTTGGCACCCAGAGCAGTTTGTACCCTGACCCTGATAATCCCACACAGCCAACCCAAGATCCACTGCAGAATGTGAAATTCATGCCAGTGATGACAGCACAATGGGAATTTCTGTTTGGTTTTTGGTTGTTTGCCTTGTAAAGTTAGTCAGCTCTCGGCCTCTGTCCCGTGACTAGAAAAAGTGTCGCCAGCTCAAGATGCTAGAATATGTCAGAGTAAAAAAATATCAAACACATCTTTGATAGCATTTTGTCTTTGTTTTAAATATATCAACTTCATTAACCAATGCTAGTAGCACATGATCATGAGCTCTGTAACAGAGGAAGCAAAATGTCCAATATGATATAGAATATCTGAAAAAAAAATATATAGAAAACTATGGTTTTCAATAGTCATTCTTCTGATTAAAGCTACACTCAAATGCAATGGAAATATGAAGAAGATTTAACTAACTTTTCTTCCTTTTCAGAGATTTTTAAGGTCAGAAGGCTTTTAATGGTCTAATGTTCTATATGATAAGAATGGAAAATAATTAATTTAGCACAGTAAGCAGCATTTTATTAAAATATGGTTCAGAAAAGCATGTAGCCTTGACTTGAAGGTAATACACTAATATTCTTAGCATATGTTCTGCTTAACTATTACAATTTTGAGCCTTAAAAGTTTAATTTGTCTGGGTTTGACTGAGAAAATATATATGGGGTTTTGTTTTACAAGCCTCTCCTAGACTAAAAATCAATTGGTTCTGGTATTTCCTCTCTTCAGGGGTACTTCCACTCCATAAGCAAGTAATTTCCTGATTTAAATTTATTCTTTTGCGCCCTCAGAAATTGCAGATAGACTCGGAACACGTTAATCAACAGTGGAAGTATTTCAAGGGGGTTCCTTGCACTTCAACATTGCATATTCTATACCATTCATCCTCAAACTCCCACATCTCCAGACATCATGCAACTTCATGTAACCAAACATCCAACACATACATTTACACAAACAAGATTTCTTCCAGCAGGGAATCTCAAGGACCTGGATGTTAATAAAATAGTTCTACCAGGACTGATGTGGAAACACAGCAGGATTCCAAAGGGGGTAAGAGACTGTTAAGTTTGGTAGGAAACTATCACTCTCCTTTCTAATTACTATTTATTAATTTTCTATTTTAATAACTAAAATCCTTGGTCACAGCCCTGTTTACAAAGTGCTGTATAAATATCTGCTCTTAAAAAAACTTTCTTGGTGGCTGGCTGTCCTGGGTTTGAGTGAGTGGGGGGGTTTTTGGTAGCAGGGGAGGGGGCTATAGGGGCGGCCCCCTGTGAGAAGCTTCTCAAAGCTCCCCCAGCTCCGCCTCTGCTTGAAAACAGCCCATCAGTTGCACCTCTGCGATAACATATTTAAGAAGGGACGTGATGAGGAGGAGTGGGACTTGTGAGGAGGAGTTGCTGCAGCTGCTTGAACACCAAGGTCAGTGGGGGAACGGAGGAAGAAAGGAGGGGGAAGGTGTGCCGGAGCAGAGACCCCCCTGTATCCTGTGGTGAGACGGCAGGGTGGCCCCCTCCGCCACCCATGAAGATCTACAGTGGAGCAGACATTGATTTATGGCCTGTGGTTTTCGCCTAGATGATCAAGGAGCTGTGCCTGAAGGAGGCCAGGATCTTGTGGGAAAAGGTAGCCCCACTGCTGTAATTCAGTGCTGGGAGGATTGCAGCATGGGGGGGCGTCCCACGCCAGAGCAGCTCGGGAACGGCTGCAGCCGTGGGAGGGAATCCAGTTGGAGAAAGTTAGTGACCCATGACTGAGCAGTGTGGGGAACACTGCGGCCCATGGGAGGGACTCATGTCAGAGAAAAGTTTGTGGAGGACTGTCCGCTGTGAGAGGGGGACCATGCTGGAGCAGGGGGAGAAGTTCCAGAAGCTCCCTCGAAGATGGTAGAAGTGGCAGCACTGACTGCACCCCCCATTCTCTGCCCCTGCGCTGCTGGGGGAGGAGGTAGAGATACTGGGAGCAGAGCTGAGCCTGGGAAGAAGGGAGGGGTGGAAGGAAGGTGTTCTCAAGATGTGATAATGCTTCTCACTGTCCTACTCTGTTAAGTGTTGTGGTTGTTAGTGCTTGTAATAAATTTATGTTCTTTCTTTCTTCCCCTAATGAGTCTGCCTTTTGCCCATGATCATAGTGGATGATTTATCCCTCCCTGTCCTATCGCAAATCTCAAGCCTCCATTTATTTTCTCCTTCTCGATACTGGGGGGGAAGGGGAGAGTGAGCGGCTGCACGGTGCTCAGTTGCCCTCTGAGCTCAAACCACGATAATAACAGAAAAAAAAGGCAATGAGGAAACAATAGCAGTCGGATATATTAGTAAGGGACATTGAAACTCTGAACTGGGAACACTGTCACTCAGAAGCAGTATTATTAACAAGCCAACTTCCTGAAGGCTTCGTGTTGACCTAAGAACAACATAGTTTAAATGCCTAAATAATTTTGAAGATGAAAGCACTATTCCTAGGCTACTTTCCGGATAGAAATGAGGTTGAGATATTTTACTGTAGCCTGGGATCCCATTTTTAAATATTAATGCGAGGAAAGAGGTCTTTCCCTTCTCTTTAAAAAGGCAAATGGAGTTTTCCTTGTGGGTACACATAAGTTTTGAGATGCTCAAAGAAGGTACATTTTCTTCTTCTTTTGAAGAGCCCTGATATCCTCATAGAACTGATTACTGTTTTTTGTTTCATCAGAAGAACACTCCATCCTGAAAGCCCAAATCAAGGATTCAGCCTTTTCCAGTGAAATACACAGTAATTATTGCTTACCTTTGGATAAATTACTGCTCGTTACTTCAGCCTCTTGGGTGTCTTTCTGCTTGAATCAGTTTCCTTTGGTGCAAAATCATATATCTTGACGATATGCAGAACCACATCAACCTTCGTGCACTCTTCTGTTCTATACAGTGATTCATCCTCAGAGCTGATTGCTTCTCAAGCTCTAGAAATTTGTTTCAGGGGAGAGACAGAAAGAAGGAAAAGTTTGTGTCTTCCCTGGAGGAGCAGAAGTTTGAGAACTTTGAGGAAAAGTTTGCTTTTGTTATTAAAGTGATGCTGCAGGGCATCCCTACCTAACCATTGGGTTCCCTCACCTCAGGCTTCGTGCTCCAGCACCCCTTTCCCCAGCCAAGGCAGGATGTCACCTAGCTGTTTTCCATTGTGTTTGAATTTATTGTTCACCCATCTCAACCCAAGTTCAGAGCTCCTCAGCCTTTGCTTTCTAGTGAAAGGGAAGGAAAGCCTTGGGTCCTTCCTCTCCTTACATGTATTTGTCCTTGGTAGCTAAAAATCTAAAGATGGAGCTAAATCTGGTTTTCACTCTATTTTACTCTCAATATCCTCAGTTCCCACTCTCTGCCTTAGCTCATCCCATTGTGCAAAGGATGGTGCACCATGAAAGCTGAGACAGGCTTATCTGCACAAATTTCTATTATTTCTTAGCTGAATACATGATTTATGGCATACATGGACCTCAAAGCTATTTTGGGGGGGGGGGGGGGGGGGGGGGGAGAAACAACCAGAAAACCCAACTCAAAACAAAACCCGCAAACAAATAAGACCAAAACAAAAGAAATAGCACACAACCAAAACAAGGAGAGAAAGAGAGAGGAAGGAAAACCATCTTCCCACAGGCTAGCCAGGAACAGAAGCAATGGGGTCTTTCAGACAACTGTCCTCTTGTGGACGTCTCTCCAGTGGAGCAGGGAGTCCACAGAGCAGTTTTCCAACAGGAACAACAAGTTTTTGTCAAAACCCACTTAAACTCGTTACCCTCCTGCCTGGGATGACATGACATTAGCATTGACTGGAGCACACTTGATGAGGTGCAGGAATTGCATGTTCCATGCACACGTAACATACAAGTAATATTTATTTGACTTGTAAATTATTTATCTACTGTATTATCCAGTAGGCTCTGAAGTTCTAAACTAAAAGCTACAAGTCAAAGGGTAAAAGAACATGGTAAGAAAGGATGGTTCTCTTACCCATGGTAATTAATTTTTAGGAGAAACCAGACATAAAAGACAGAAAAACACATCGGAATGCATCTGTGCAAGGCCCTGAGGATGAGGGCACTTGGATACCACAGTAAAAGCACCAGGGCAGCAGCCTCCAGGCGTATGGTTGCAAGGGAAAAGCAGGCTACAGAGGGAATACCCTTAGCATTACAACGGTTAAAGCATCCAATATGCTATGCAGACATGCATACGAAATTAAAATATTGAAATTCAAAGAGCTCAGCCCAGAAAGCGTCATGGTGAACTTCTCCCACATTACAAGCAATGAGCTTCAGGTCCACCTTAATGTAGTGTCTTGCTGACATTTATTATTATCCTTGTCAGAGGTCTATTTTGAACCAAACTAAATAAAACTAGCAAATCTTAGGAAAACATTCCTTTCATTTCTGACTTTCGTCACCCCACACCACAGGAAAAGACTGTTTAATAGGCTGAAGTCCTTGTGCAGCAATAAGACCAGGCAGAAACAGAGGAAACCGATAGCATGCCTTGGCACAGAGACAGCACAAAGTGATTCTCACTGTTGTAAAAGTGCTGTACAATCTTCCACTTTGATCTCCATACCTGTTGTGGGTGTAGGGGATCATAGGTGGAGAAAAGGAGAAGAGCAAGAAATTTTTAGGTATTCACTGTTGTCAGCTCCTTCAGGTTAATGGCAGCAGGCAAAAACAGAGCACCCTTGTCTGTGCCTGCTCTAACCTATGGCTGGGGCTGGACAGAAGCACAACAGCACCAGGGCTGGCGGCGTTTCTTGCTTTCGCTGAAGGAGGTGGTCTCTTATCCCACTAATAAGCTCCCTCCTTCAGCAACAAGATCCAAGAGTTGGCTAGAGAGCAAATAAGCACTGTGAATTAAAACATTTGATGGTTAACCATATGGGTTGCTTCCTCTGCTTTTCCAGACCAGGTCGGAACACAGTGCTATTGAAAGATGAGACAAATAAAGGGCTGAGCTACTGAAATCCAGTGTTGCTTCAATTCTAAAATCTGAACATGTGACAGAATGCTCTAACTTAGGGAGTACAGTCTGTGCTCTAAAATGTTTATATATGAAATCTGCTTAGAAACAGTCAGATTACAATTAAACCTTCCACTTATTAATTCAAGAAAAGATATCTATCACCAGGAAAGCTGTGGGTGACAACTGCCTTGCCCTGGACAGCAGCCAGACACCTTCAAACATGAGAAAGACAGCAGTGAAAATGTTGTTCCATTGTTTTTGCCCTTGCACTACAAGTTGCAGAACTTAAGGACAGGGATTATTTTATTATAAAATGCCCCACAGCAAAGAAAAGATGGAACTGTCCCACCTGTTTCACAAAAGCATTGCCCTACACAAGAGATCTCTAGCTGAGCCTGCTGTCAAACAGCTCTCCTTGTGCCAAAAAACAACTGTTAGGTCTGACAGCCATTGAGTCGGTAACTTGGCATGACAAAATAGAGCAAAACAATGCTAATTTTAGACAGAACACCAGAATCTCCTTTCCAAACCCAATGCTAAGAAGTTGACAGTTCTGAAGAGAAAGAAAAAAAAATGAAAGAAAGTAAAAGGGAAAGAAGAAACAGAAGGGGGTAAAGGGAGAGAAGGGGACAAACAGGAAAAGGGGGGGGGACAAACGGAAAAGGGGGGGGGGAGAAAAGGAAAAGGGGGGGGGAGAAAAGGAAAAGGGGGAAGAGGGAGAAGGGGGAAGAGGGAGAAGGGGGAAGAGGGAGAAGGGGGAAGAGGGAGAAGGGGGAAGAGGGAGAAGGGGGAAGAGGGAGAAGGGGGAAGAGGGAGAAGGGGGAAGAGGGAGAAGGGGGAAGAGGGAGAAGGGGGAAGAGGGAGAAGGGGGAAGAGGGAGAAGGGGGAAGAGGGAGAAGGGGGAAGAGGGAGAAGGGGGAAGAGGGAGAAGGGGGAAGAGGGAGAAGGGGGAAGAGGGAGAAGGGGGAAGAGGGAGAAGGGGGAAGAGGGAGAAGGGGGAAGAGGGAGAAGGGGGAAGAGGGAGAAGGGGGAAGAGGGAGAAGGGGGAAGAGGGAGAAGGGGGAAGAGGGAGAAGGGGGAAGAGGGAGAAGGGGGAAGAGGGAGAAGGGGGAAGAGGGAGAAGGGGGAAGAGGGAGAAGGGGGAAGAGGGAGAAGGGGGAAGAGGGAGAAGGGGGAAGAGGGAGAAGGGGGAAGAGGGAGAAGGGGGAAGAGGGAGAAGGGGGAAGAGGGAGAAGGGGGAAGAGGGAGAAGGGGGAAGAGGGAGAAGGGGGAAGAGGGAGAAGGGGGAAGAGGGAGAAGGGGGAAGAGGGAGAAGGGGGAAGAGGGAGAAGGGGGAAGAGGGAGAAGGGGGAAGAGGGAGAAGGGGGAAGAGGGAGAAGGGGGAAGAGGGAGAAGGGGGAAGAGGGAGAAGGGATAAAAGGCAAGAAGGAAGAAAAATTATAAAAGGAAAAATGAGAAAATAGGGAAAATGAAGAAAGGGGGGAAAGAGGGGAAAAAATGAAAAAAATGTAAACAATTAAAATAAAGAAAAAAAAGGGAAAAGGGGAAAAGGAAATAAAAGGAAGGGGGGAAATGAAGGGGGGAAAAAGGAAAAAGGTGGGAAAGGGAGAAAGGGGGGTTGAGGGGGGGAAGTGGAAAGGAGCAAGGGAAGAGGGGAAGCGTTTTCAGCCAGGAGCGAAAACCCCGAGGCAAAGAAGCTCCGACAGAGGAGGAGCGGAGGGGCTGCCCGCGGCCCCCGCGGGTCCCGTCCCACGGCCCCCGTGGGCCGGCCTGGCCGGCTGCCGCCTCCCGGCTTCGAAAGATCGCGCGGGGCCAATGGCGGGGAGCGGCCGGGCGGCGGCAGCGCCGGGATTGGTGCCGGAGCTCTGCTGATCCCTCTGGAAACCCCGCCGGGACTGAATGGAGGAGGATGCTGAGGGGGGGGGGGGAGGAGTGGGTGGAAGGGGCTGAGCTTCCCACAAAACGGGGCTGTGTGCGAGGAGAAAGTGCATCAGTCCGGGAAAAAGCAAAAAGCAGCCTAGGGGGCACTTCCGAGCAAGCGGCGGAGCGGAGAGATCGCAAGGGCCGGGCAGCGGGAGACAAAGAGAAGGGAGGACATGAGCGGAGGCAGAGGGAGAGAGCAGGGCATCAGCTGAGTTCAATCACGCAAGAAAAGCTCTTCGCCCCCGCCCCCGCTCAGCCGTAATTGCAGGGACAGGTTTCTCCCCCCCCCCCTCCCCCCTTCACCCCCGGCGTTGGGCAAGAAGACAAAGAAGCGAGTGACCCCATGGGGAAAGGGGGTGAGAAAGGAGGGGAGTCGGGGGAGCCGGAGGCGCAGATCCGCTTCTACACCTGGGAGGAGATCCAGAAGCACAACCTGAGGACGGACAAGTGGCTGGTGATAGAGCGAAAGGTTTATAATGTCACCAAGTGGGCAAACAGACACCCGGGGGGTCAGCGAGTGATCAGCCACTGCGCCGGCGAAGATGCCACGGTAAGGACCCACGCACAGACACACCCGCGGCTGCCTCCCAGTTCTCACCAGCAACCCCCGCCGGGTCCTTTTGCCTTCCCGGTGGTTACTGCGAAACGAGCCAGCTTTTGTGCAGCCGAGCTGCCGGCCTCCCTCTCCCCATCTCTCTTCCCACCTGCTGGGAACCCAGCTCATCTCTTTCGCTGCTTTTAGGAGCGAAAAGGTTGGTCCAAACTGATGCAACTCCTTGGCAATCAACTCCGTTGAGCCATGGCAATTCGCAGCATCTGGAAGATTGGTTGGTAGAGATTGCTCGGCTCTGCTTAAGTCCCGCTGTTTTGTCTTTGTGTTTTGTTTGTGCTGTGCCTGGAGCGCTGAATTCACGAGCAAAGTGTCCCAAGTCTTCCCCTCTTCAGTGTGTAGCTTGTGACATGCAGAGTCACAGCAGCCAAGCACAAAGAAAGGGTTAACGAGAGGCCAGTCTGTGTTTCAAAGTTGCTTCTGTGAGGAGGGTGAGCTTAAGGCTTTAAAACAAGGAGCTTTTTAGGTTTTTTTTTCCCCAGGAGAGAATTCTCTAGAGAATTTAGTTACAGGTTTCTTCAGAAAAGGAAAAAAAAAAAAATAGAAAATTGCTGCTGCTACAGCTGCTCCTGCGCTTCATAGCTGGATTCAGCTACCTCTCATGTTTCAGCAACTTAAAAGCAAACAAACAAACAAACAGAAAAATGAATTAATTGCCTCAGAGATGGCTGTCTGCAGTCTCCCTCAAAGCCACCTTCTTCAGAAGTGCATCCAGAGAGCATGTTCTCTCCCCAGGGCATTATCCCATAGTTAATAAAATTTAAACTGCCTCAGAGCTTTTCCGAATATGTGCATGGTAAGCGGCAGGAGAGCCCAAGCTGTAACATTAACTGTTCGTCTCCCATGGTTCTTAACACCTTAGCAAGGAGGAGGCTCTGTGTGTGGCAGAATTAATTGGCAAGAATTACCAACCTTTCCTCTCCATCAACCTCCTTTTGCCTGTGGTCCGTGGTTATTTGCCATTCTCTTCCTTGAACCACTGAGATGTGTTTTGGTGTTCTCAACCCTTTCCAATAAATCCTCTGAATGAATAGCTTCCTCCCTCAAAAAGATGGGCCAGGTTTTACTTTCAACTGCATAAAGCAGGCCTACTGAAACCGGAGGAGTTTGACTCCTATCCCCAAGAATTTAACTCCAATATCTCCACTAGAAACCAAAAAGCATCTGTTATTGCATTTATCTCGAGTCCCTGCAAGGGAGACTGAAGCACAGGTGTGTGATTCTGCTACTGCTGGTCCTCCTCTCACCTCCCCAATGTACATTGCATCCCACTGGACTCAGAGTACTCTTCATGAGGGCAAGGTCTTAAGAATGCTCTGAAATTGTTCATCACCACACTAAGCCAGGATTGGCATCTGGTTTCTAGCTTCCCTGTGGTGAATAACAGTTTACTGCCAAAAAGATCTCACTCTCATTCAGAGTGAGAAAGCCTTGGCCTTGACCCTGTCAAGGCTTAACTAGCAGGTTTCATTCTGTGTTGCGAGATATCACAACTGGAAGAGTTTAAGAGGAGGAAAAGGCAACGATAAAAATTCCGTTTAACATGTTTACATTCCTGGTTTGCACATAGCTTCCATCTTTCTCAGTTTCTCCTTAGCACCACAGGTAGTAAGCACCTCCAGTCCAGCAAACTTGCCCCAGAGGAACCTCAGCATCTTGTCCATTTATCTTGGACCGATCCTCTGGAGGATCATGTGTGTCCATCTACCACCAGCTGCCCACTGACACAGTCACTGAACTCCACATCTAGGCCGGGCCACTCTAAAGGTACCCTGCTTGGTGATGTGTGAGCTAATTCATCTCAGGATGCTCACACAACAGCTAACTGAGAAGCTTCTCTAAGAGCTGTTACGTTCAGCATGCTCATGCCAGTCAGGTTAGGAGTGCCCAGGCTAGCTTAAGCACAGACTTCCCCTACAGGTACTAACTCTGAGCATTCATTCCTTTTAGGCCATACTTTAAAATGCTGAGACAGCATACTAGTGTGGGGCAACCTGTTCTGGTATCATCACTTCATGCACAGTTGCTTTCAGAAAATGAAGGCAAGAGCGTGCGAAGGCACCTTGCAGTCTCTCTGTTTCAGCGATGTTCAAGGATGTGAAAGAACATCCTTGTCCTGACTGCACTAAGCACTTCAAATGCTCAAGTATGGTTCATACCTCAATAATACGAAGCTTTTTTCACCCAAAGCAGCTGGAATAATTCCTACTTGCCATAGGACACTTCAACTTATTTGGCCAGTAGACCACAAAGTTGGGAGGTCAGGTGTAAATATCACATGGCACTGTCCAGAGACTCTTCTGCCTTTTGCTTTTTATCTCCAGTACAGAACCAAAGATAATTCCAAAATCCAGGTAGTATCTTACATTTGGGACCTATGAGTAAAGGAGACACATGAGATACAGCTAATAAAAAAGTAATCTTTCCATCACTAGCTTTCTGGCTGATGATGGTAAGAGTATGAAGGAGATGTTATTCTTTCTCCTACTTGGAGGCTATACTGATAAAGCCTATTCTCTACATATGCCAACGACATATATGTGCATTACTTCTCAGTGAAGTTAAAACTTTCCTGCTCAAGTATTTCCTTCATGACATAGGCTTGCGATAGCGGGGAAGTGGAAGATTGGTAGAGTCGTTTTGAGTAACAAACGTGCTTTGACACTCATGATTGCATTTCTGACCAGTTCCAACCTTTACTTTTCATCCCATCCAGAAAGAAGGGAGGCTATTAAGTTCAGAGGCAGAGGAGAACTCTCCCTGGAAAAGTCATGACAGAGCATTTGTAAGCATATTTAGAAAACAGATAGGCTACTGCCAAGGAAGCCCCAGGTAGACAAAAATACCTTCTAGGTGGTCAGGCAGAAGCTGCTGTTCTGAGTCACCTCCCAATTAATACAACACAAATTAGTGAGATCTCTAACATAGTGACCAGGCAGTACCCAGTCAGACACGCAAAGAGGTTTTTTTTTTCCCCATTAGTTTAAATAATATTGACTCAACATTCTTTAATGCTTCTTATGTGTTCATCCTCTCTCTCTTTCCCCATCTTCCCCTTTTTTCAACCCCAAAATTGCAAAACCTTGCAGCAGGTACAGTCAGCTATTCACTTCCCCACTCATTCTGCTCTTCCCTCTTCCACATCATCGGCAAATTGTACCAGGGAAGGAAACTAGCAACCAGACAGTGACACATGTAGGGGTCCAAGAGCAGAAAAACCTACAATAACTGAAGCACCAATAAAAAAGGCTTAAGGCTGGTCTGCAACCAGTTGTAACCTTGGGCAAGTCAGTCCTTTAGTGTATTATCCCCTCTGTAGTAGGGAGAGGATAGTATTTCTTAACCTCAGATGGGCTGTGAGGATAACATCAGAAAGGTTGAAGTATACAGAAATTATGGTAAAGCAAATCAAACTCCTCAAAGTAGGGAAGGAAGCTGATGATTCAGGACAAGTATTTCTTTGCATGGGAAACTCCAAACTGTCTGCAGCACAGGGCTGGAGAAACAGTTTTGTTGGCCCTAGAGTTTTACCTTGATTTTGGCAGCAATAAAGTGACACCAGCAGCTAACCCAACGCAGTCAGAAAGCACCAGTCTCACTCCTGCTGGGGTGAGTCCTCATGAGTGGACCTGGACAAATTGATCCAAACTTCCTCCTGTGATAACAGGGATCACTTTGTCCCTGACATTGGTTACAAAAGGGGATAGTCTGGGTACTGGCATGACAGCTGAGGTGAGAGTAACTAGGAGATTCTGGTGCTTTACAGAAAAAATGCACCTCAGTTTCATTTCTGGCATTTCAGTTTGCTTCTTTCACTGAAATATATTTCCCCCCCACACCTTACTTCTTCCCTCATAGCCACAGTGTTTTATGGCTTTTGCAATCTTTAAATATTTCCACAGAGTTGTTTTTTTTTTTCTCCTGCACCTGTAGCTAGCACTTCTCCCCACCCAACACCCCACCAGTCCAGCATCTCTAACTTCTCATATATCATTTCTTTAACTTCAAGTTAAAAGACTCAGATCAGCTTTCACTCTCCCTCCTTATATGCCTCCACAGCAAAACTTCTATGGTCAGAGTATTATTGTGAAGCTCAATCCAAAGTCTTGGAATCAGGTGAAAGTTTCTATTGATTTGGGTGAACTTTGGGACCAAGGTTGTTAGCTGGTGTTTTTGAACACCAGAGCTAGACTTTTGGTGGAGGTCAACTTCCAGAAGGGTCAGCTGGACACAGTGGGCACTTTTGAGCCTGCCCTTACTGTTTAGAGCCAGAAGTGAGATTTCAGTTGGTCCCTACTATTGTTATGCATGGGAAAAAGGTGGAAAGGCTGAAGTATGGTACTCCTGACTTCTATTTTTGACTGTTTTTTCTGTATCAGTCTTAGCACTTCATGTATTTACAATATTACAGCTCTCCTAGGTGATTTTCTAGAGTTAACTCCAGTTCTGTGCAGTAAGAAAAGGGGCAAGGACAGAGTTTCTGACCTTGGTCAACCTTCTGTCCCTACCACTATCTTTGGGGTTAAAATTCAAGCCACACCATGTGAAAGGACAGGTGTGCAGGATCTCACTACTATCAGCAGATGCATCAATATATGCTCCCATCAGGCATCTGTAGGACATAGGTAGACAAAAACATGTGGAAAGGGGAAGAAGTACAGAAAAAGAAGAGCCAGGCAAACTCATGAATGCCAGGATCAAAAAGACTGTACAATCAAGGCATTGTCCTTCCATATTAGAAGAAGTCTTGAAAATATGTAAGAAAAATAATATTCCATCTGGGTTTCCTGCTTTTCCAGCCACAGCAGTATATGGGATAGGATTTATTTCACAAATTTCATCTCTTAATTAAATTCTTCTGCTGAAACTTAACAAGCTATTTATGCCTATTATCACATGTTGGGGAGACTTCAGTAAAATGTACCCAACATTCAAGGTATGTACTGAGTAGAAAATACACAAGCAGTCTCGCAAAAGATTAATGGGCCTCTTATAGGGACAAGCAGCCATATAGCACAGCACAGAAGAAATGACAAGAAATCTTATCGTATGTATTGATAACTATGATCTCTTCAAGACTGCTAACCTGCTTGGCATATTTCAGAGTAATGAATCAAGTTGCTTTTTTTGGTGTAGATCCCTTTTTGAATGGGGTCCTAGACACTGCAAAGCTTGATAGCAAGCACTTTAAAGCAATTGCTTAAAGTTCTGGTATACAACCAAGTTTTTGGTTTGCTTCCTTTCTAAGACATACTACTTAGACTTGCACAGAGATAGAATTGCCTATATATCTAGAATATGGTTCTAGAAAAAAGAAGAGTTAAGTTAGCATTCAGTTACTCATCTTACAGAACAAAAAGAGAAAGGCAGTCTCCAATGCCTGACTCAGTGAAGAGTCACCACTTTTTCCTCAGCTGTTAGTGCTGGGATCTCCAAGTCTGGCCAAAACATCCAGTAATATTTTTTTATATCTGCAGTCATGTCCTGGTTCAGTCACCACAGTCACCCCCTCTCTTGAATTGCCTCCAGGCAGCAGACTTTCAACGGGTATTTATATCCTAGTGGGGATTTGCACAAATTCCTCTCTGCCTACCTTCTAAGGGAATTAACAGGATTTAGGTATTTAGTTGCTTAGAAAAAATTTCTTGAGGTGCCTTTCACCATATGTCTAGACAGCATCCCAGATCTCACCATGTGCTTCCTACTAAATAAGCAAATTCATCAGCCTCTAGCAGAATTACTTCACTGAACAGTGATCACAGAGGTGGAAGTCAGCTTGGCACCCCTCTTTTAGAGTAACATGGTGGGGGGACTGCATAGAAGGACAGTGCTGGAGGTAGATGGGAATGACACAATGAGTAGGAAGCAACAGCTTATTCCTGAATCTCACACAGTTACTCATATTTCCACTCCAGGATGCATTCCAGGCCTTCCATATCAATCCCACCTTGGTGCAAAAGTTTCTCAAGCCATTACTTATCGGAGAGCTTGCTCCAGGGGAACCTAGCCAGGACCGAGATAAGAACGTGAGTATTTGTTTCTGAGCTGGGGTTTATGATGGGAATGTTCCACCATTTGCTTCCTCTCGGGATGTCCCCCAGGTCAGAGGTGGGCAGATTATAAAGGTCTCTTCACTATAGGCAGCTCCAGAGAGGGAGAAAAGTGCTCAGCAACGGAACATCTCCATGTAGCAGTGTGCACATCCCAGTATAGATTAAAATGGGAGAGAGGCGACATATTCAGACTGGCTGTACAAGCCTTGCCTTTCCCACCAAGCCACCAACAGCTCTGTCTGTGGTAATCGTGTCCCGTTTCTAGCAGCCCACTCCAGGTGCCCAGGCTGGGCTGATCCCATACTGAAAGGAAATGTGAACTGGGAAATGTGCACCAGCTCTTGTGACTGGTGTCCCTTCTGCTATTCCTTCTCTGGTGACCAAGCTCTAAAACACGTCATCGCTTGCCTGTTACAGGGGAAGGAGAGGAGTGGGCAAAGAAGTCTGAGAAGGCTTACAAGCAAGCTGCTCACCACCTCAACAAGACTTGAATCTCTTTCTCTGTTTGCTCAGCAGTTCCCTTTGACAGATTACTCCCAGGGGAATATCTCTTTGAGATTCAAACTGGCTTATCCTTCTGAGCCCAGTACCAGCAAATCTCTGGAGAGCAGCCACATTTGTGCCATCCATGGCGTGAGCAGTAGGCACCTATGGGTGAGGTGCACCAGATGTCTCATTTAGGTGGCTGTTCTTAAGCAGCAGAAACCCAGAAAGTGCCTCTTCTACCCACTCTGCATCCCCAGGGCAGCTCTTTATCCCTCCCAGACAGTTCATTCATTATTCAGGCCCAGTGCATGGCATGACTAGCTCTTGCCACGAAACTCAATCCTGGCCTGTTGTTTGTGACTGGCGATGATTATGATATATCTGTATCACTCACAATAGAAGAGACAATGCTAACCTGCATTAACCCAGGAACGTTCTTCATGAACGACTGCATGGTAGCTGACCCATATATTAAATACATGACAGGTGCTCTGATATTGGGTGCTCATCATAAGAGCTCTGGAACTATGCATAAGTAATAGGACTGAATTATCTCCTCCTCCAGCTGCCTCTTTAATACTTGTAAAGCTCATTCAGACGAGAGTCATCAGCCGATGTAACTCTCAACAGAGCTACGTAGTGCTGCTGATTCACAGCAGCAGGCTTGAATTACTCTCCTAGCTCAAGGTGCAAAAGGTCAGGATGCAGGCTCGGACCAGCCGGGATGTTTATTTATAGGAAAGTGTGATGAAAAGCTAGAATACAGGGGGAATATGGAGGCAGGTCCTTCCTTACTTCTGGAGCAGACAACCAGTGCAAGAAACAGCCAGGTTCCTTAGTATGGAACTTGGGCTTCCTTCCTCAGACACATTCAGACTTGCTTATAAGCTGCATACTGTGCCTTGCATGCCTATTTTTCAGTCCCAGCTGGTGGAGGATTTCCGGACCCTGAGGAAGACAGCAGAGGACATGAACTTGTTCAGAGCAAATCCTTTGTTCTTCTCTCTTTACTTGGGCCATATTATTGCAATGGAAGTTTTGGCTTGGTTAATGGTCTCATACTTTGGTACTGGCTGGATCACAACTCTCATCCTCGCCTGCATCCTTACAACTTCCCAGGTGAGAAATAGTAGGCACAGAGCATGCTGGCTACACAAATCACTCAGAAGGCCAGTGTGCACTTAACTTTTCATGTTAGATGACTTACCAGTACAAAAAATTCACACTAGTGAAAAATATTCATAACATACCTGTTACTGTGGTGACTTCTGTCCACCTGTACCCACTGCTGATTGTGGCTCACATTTTTCTCACCTCTTTGGCCTTTCCTTTCACGTGTTGGTGGACTTGGTAGTGTTAGACTTACTGTTGGACTTGATGATCATAAAGGTCTTTTTCCAACCTAAATGATTCTATTTTCCCCTCCAGAACAAAAACAGAGATCTTCGCTTTCTCACTTCAATTAATTCCCTCTCTTCCTCACACTCACAACTTGCCTTCTATCTCCATTTCCTTTTGTGCTTAACTCTGATTTCAAACAGCTTCCTAACTACTTGATTTCCCTTCCTCCCAGGCCCAGGCAGGGTGGCTGCAACATGATTTTGGACACCTCTCTGTCTTTAAGAAGTCTTCCTGGAACCACATCGTCCACAAGTTCATCATTGGACATCTGAAGGTAAAGGAATTTGTGGACCCAGGGCACTGTAGAAACAACAGCAGTCACTTTGACTACGTTGAAGTAGGAAACTGCAGCTCTGGGCATTTCCACAGTGAGCGGATGCACAGAGAAGTTAGTGACTATTGCACATAGACTTGTGCAGGAGACATAAGAGACTGTATCATAGCTGTTACAGACCACAGTAGTTCCACAAGTTTCAGTGGAACCACATCAATTTATAGCAGTTGAGGACAAAGCTTATTAAATTGCAGAAACCCCTACTTGACCATCCTGTCATATTTTCAGCATGCATTCCACTAAGGTATATTTTTCAAATGTCCCATCCTGCTACATCCCTTCCAGTCAAGGTGCCTTCAGAACTTCTATCCTGGGCAAGATCCAGTCCAGTCCAGGCATTTCAGCATCCACCTGCAGTAGGAACTTGTAGAGGGTGGGACACAGCTTTGTGCATTCTCCCAAACCCACCTCGTCTTGCCTGGTTCCTCACAGGCACAGGCAGTAGAGGGAAACCAGTATAATAATCAGTAAGGCAGCAAGAGGGTTTAGTGGTGGACTTGGTAGTGTTAGGTTAATGGTTGGACTCGATGATCTTAAAGGTCTTTTCCAAACTAAATTACTCCATGATTCAGCTACTAATGACAACTTCACATGTGGGAAGCCGTGGTGACATGTGACTCACTCAAAGTATATTTATTCCCTGTTCTTTCAACACAGATGATCCTTAGTGAGGGCAAAGAAGCCCTCTGAAACCAGCAGTCTCACAGCAGTTGTCAGTTTAGCCACGTAATGCTTATTGCTGTTTCAAAAGTGTGGCCATAATCTGAGTTGCACTGTTTTAGTTTATATAAATGAATGTGTAATCCTACCATTAGAGCAACTGTAGTTTCCCATGGATGAACATCTTGTTCTTCTATCTGCCCAGGGTGCTTCTGCTAACTGGTGGAACCATCGTCACTTCCAACACCATGCCAAGCCCAATATATTCAAGAAGGACCCAGACGTGAACATGCTGCATATTTTGGTCCTCGGAGACACGCAGCCTGTTGAGGTAAGGCAAAGTGGGTAAAATGTGGAAAACCATTTCCTAAAGGAATTCAGAGAATGCTTGTGCAAAACCAGGAGTTGGCTAGTATTGGTAGACACGACTTAACACAGTCAAGACTTAAGGAATGCTAAAAAAGGAAATGTTTCATCCAGGGATTTCATCTGTCTATGTTGTCTGACAGGAGTTTGCCTGTCACACCTGCCCAAAGCTTGGGCAGAAGACCAAGACTGACTATATAATTCACTGTCAATTTCCTATACTGTCCACAGGAGGAAGTGTTTTGGGGTAGCTTGGGAAAAGCAGTGAAGATGGGATTGAAAAGAAAGTAGAAAGCCATTCAAGATAACTTTATCCTGTTGGCTTGAAATATCAACACGAGGGGGAAATATGGTGTTTGTCAGTAATTCATCAGAACATTTCAAAACCAATCTCCAATTTCCCCAGAAAATATCTTCCATTATTAGTCAGTCCAGTTGTGCACCAGACAATCTGTACAAGGTCCTCTCCACTGAATCTTTTGCCATGCAGTTGAGGGGATATTGCTTGCATAAGCAATACCTTCTTACTTTCTTACATTAACTATGCACTAACATGCTGCACATGAAATAACAGGCTATATTAAGGGATTTTAATTCACTCTGTCCTTCCAGAGGCCAAGTATTTAATGTCTACTCTACAGAAACCTACACAAAGGACTTAAGCCATGTACCATCCTTGGTCTTTTTTATAATGGAACAAGAATTTCTAATTTTAACAGGAAAACAACAAAAAAACCCAAAGAAAACAAACAAACAAACATCTGCAGCAAGTACAAGACAGAGGAATACAATGTTAAAAAGTTAATGGTTTCTCAGCCAGCTTTTATACTGTTGAGAAAGTAACTCCAGACACGTGTAGGGGACATACATACTGGTATACGGACATGTATAGAGAATGTCTTGCACACAGAATTTTCAAGAGGCAGAAGGGCTCTTATATATGACTAAAATGAAGGCCTTCTCCTGGGGCATAAAAAAGACATTATCTAGAAGATATTAATTGGTATCACACTCTTAAATATGTGGGTACAACCCTTTGGAAAATCTTGTGCCTGATAACTGGGTTTAAAAGCAGACCATAATTCTACCACTTAAAGTAAAATCTAAGAATGTAAATGTTTGTGACAACAAGGAAAACTTGATCTCCCTCCTACAAAATATCTGAAATATTAGGCCAGCATCAGTCTATCCCAATAGTCTTTCACACTTGCATATAATGCTTGTCCAGATGATGCTAAGCACACAGCCTTTCAGAGCTCAGACCAGAGTGAATGTTGTGCCTGACTTATTGGTGCTACAAGACTTACCTTCGTTAGGAAGTTGCTATACTGGAAGCAAAAATGCAAGTTCACAGCAATACAGGTTCTCCATGCATTAGCTCCTCGTGTGAATACAAGGTCCGAACCTGTGTTTGGAGAAACTTCTCTACATCTGCTCTCTGTAGGTGGACCATAGTAATATGGAATCAGTACAGAAGAGCTCTCAGTGACAGCACTCATATTTCTTATCACTTACATGTCAAACTAGTGACATGACATTATAGATTTAAGCACATCTGCATGCCTTGCTGTGGTAAAAGCCAAGGACCACGCTAGATTTCCCACTGATGGTAAAGTAAGCTTTTACAAGACATGGCTAATGCCAGGAGTTCATGGGGGCTGACAGCTGCAGAAGTCAAAAAGTGTCAATGGTTGGGACATTTTGCATGGAATCAGACTTTATGCCTATCACCTTTGTGTTGGTAATGATAGCAGCTTGTATCACAGCCACAGGCATGGCAAAAGGTGAAGAAATGCATTAAAATGCCATCAGGCTCTCAGATAAATAGAAATTATCTGAATATCAAGCCAGAAGACTTTAAAAAATAACTTATACCTATCACAATTACAAAGATATTTAACTATACCAAAACACTTTTTACCTGGTGGTAGGAATTTAGTCAAAACTCTCCAGTCAATAAATAAAGAAGTATTGCAGAGAATCTTTTCTTACGTGTGAGCATCATAATCCAAGCCTGAGCTTTCTCCTTTGTGTCCTGCAGTATGGCAAGAAGAAGCTGAAGTACCTGCCTTACAACCACCAGCACGAGTACTTCTTCCTCAGTGAGTATCTGCCCTGCACTTTTCCTTTTTCCCTGAATACCAGTTGACCTTTCCAGCCCTTACTGTGTTAGCAGAGCACCTCCTTAAGTCTCAACTCATTCTGCCCTTCCTCAGGACCACCATCCCCTGTGCAGGTCCCCAAATCAGTTCAGTATATTCTTCAGTGATATCTGAGCATCTTGAACATTGCCAGCATGGTCCTGTACAGCAAAGCAAACAACTGAGACTGGGGAATAAGCAACCTCTGTGTGAGAGGCTCCGTGGAAAAAACGCATGTTGCCAGTCAATGCTTTTTGAGAAGTCAAGATGAACGGGTGTGCAGCAGAGCCTCCTTTCTTCACAGAAAGTCAACCATGCCCCAACACCAGCCCTCACCCCTCTCACCAGTGCTAGGCAGACTTTCCCTAGAACCAGTCCTAAATCACTGGCTCACTCATGTCACATGCCTTTCCGCCCCTCTGATGGCTAAAACATTTCCCTTTGCTTTGCAGTCTTCCCGCCTCTGCTCATCCCTGTGTATTTCCAAATCCAAATCGTCTCGACCATGATCAGGCGCAGGTTCTGGGCGGTGAGTGAAACATTCCCTCGATCTTTATGGGGTCCAGCTGGCTCGTAAGAAATTAAACTTGAGTAGGGAGGGAGGCCAGTGGGCACGGATTGCACTTTGCTGTATTAACTACACAGAGTCCTTAACATCACCAGCAAGGACACGTTATATTAGATTGGCAAAGGGATACCTAATGTCTTCTCTTCCCTTAGGACATAGCCTGGGCCATCAGCTACTACATGCGCTACTTCATCACATACATCCCATTCTATGGCGTTCTGGGATCCCTGTCTCTCCTCACTTTTGTCAGGTAGGAGATAAAGGGCATCCCTGCTGCTCTCCCCTCCTTCCAGTGCCAGAGGAACCAAGTCTCAGCGCTGCTGTGCCCCACAGGCCTTCCCTATTTAGGTTCTCTGCAGTCATTGACCTCACTGTGTGTTATCTTGGCTATTCCCACTGCTTCACTTTCCTCTTACCATTTCCCAGTTCTACCTCCCTGCAGCAGAACTGGTTCTGGTGCTCAGCATCTGCCCCTACCCTTGTGATGGTCCAGCCAGGATTTTCCTTTCTTTCCTTGTGCCCTGTTCTTGTGTGCTGCCTGATCCCAACACATTTATGCATTTTTTCCACTTTGGTCAAGGCTGGACCCTTCCAGGGTGTCTCAGGCCACCCTCTTCCCAGCTTACTGGAAAGGTAATTCACCAGCCCCGCCGAGCACTGTACGTGCTTCCCCTGCGAGTGAATGCTCACCACTTCTCCTAGTGTGGAAGACTGGCTAGTACCAAAGGATGGCATTTAGTCCCACAGTCAGCATTAGTTTTAGGGAAACATTTAATCACAGTGAAAATAACTTTCTATATATATTTTTTTTTGAGTAAAAAGAAATGGCAACAGATGTATAAAAACCTTCACAATATTACAACTTTTGTCTCCACAAAATTTAATGTCACTGTTCAAGACCTCAGTTTTCATAGTTTCAAAACACTGTGGACCTAAGGAAGAGGAGATCCAAAAGACATGCATTTGTATAAGTGCCTAGCCAACGTTTTTGGTCTGAAATCAAGCTAAAAAACTTAGGACAACCAACCCATTAGTTCCATAACTTCCATATTTTGATTAAGCTAAAAGTGCAAGATGAAAGGCAAAATTGCTCTTTCAGAAAACAAGCCTAAAGACTAAAACAAGGATGCTTCTGGACAACTATCATGTCAACATACATCTAAGTCTTGGTGTAGAGAAACTACTTTGGGTAAAGAGAAGAAAGTACATTTCTGTAGATTACTGTACAGGTGCTAAAAATGCAGTTATATACCATAAGCAATAAACAAGCCGCCCTAAAGTGATACCCAGCCCAGGGCAGAGTTGAGACGTTTCCATAGAAAAAGAGATATTTACTTCAACACCTCAGAGAAATACTTTCCTCACAGGTTGTGTCTCCTGCTGCTCCCTGTAAACCCCACTCTATTTACCTCATATCTTGAGCTGCAATATAAATTGTCATGGTTTTTGCCTGTTTGGTTTTGAAGGTTTCTGGAGAGTCACTGGTTTGTGTGGGTCACGCAGATGAATCACATTCCAATGGAAATTGATTGTGAGAAGCACAGAGACTGGCTTAGCTCTCAGGTAACTGGGAGGGGAAAGAATACCCCTGACTCACCCCAAAACAGATTAGATTTACTCAAAGAGCGGATGAGTTACCACTATATGGTCTCTGCCCATGACTCCCCTCCGCGAAAAATGTTCTGCCCAGAGCCAGCAATGCTGAGTCAAGACATCAAAGTCCAAACTTCTGTAATTAATTTGATAATCAAAAGCTTCCTTCAGATTTGAGGCAATATCAGATTCAAGAAGCATGATTTGGCTTTCCTGGGGGGTAAATTTTGGCATATAATTATGAGCAAGTAGAAGAGCCCCGATGAAAATCAAAGCTGAAGAGAGAGCTCAATATATTTCTAAAGTTTATATTTCAGCAATAAAGACTGAAATGAAAACTAGCTGCTTTCTACATCTTTTTTAACGCCTGGTCTGACAAATCCACCCTGCTGAAAGGATACCTCTTATTTACAGTGATCCAAGTCCTGTTCAGTCCTCAAGGCTAATGACAGCAACTTTGACACTGTCTGTATGAATTTGGTATAATTGACCTGAGTGAAGAAAGCATCTTGTGTGTTAATTAGTATATTAGTATTTGTAGTTGTTAATGGGGCACTGAAGGTGAGCTGTCAATGTCTGACAGTCTATTTCTCTCTCTTGTGCTAAAAGAACTAAAAAAAAAAAAAGCGCTAAAACTACTGTTCAGGAAAGTACCTGAGCATTTGTTTTAAATTAAGCACGTGGATAGATTCATTGAAATCATGGGAGTTTTCAGATGCTCACCTTAAGCTTTTGCATACACACTTTATGCAACTGGAATCTGTAAACAGAGAGATTGTGAGAGTGAGAGATTGGAGGGGGGAGTGGAGATTATAAGAAAGCAAGATAAGCCTCTTTGACACCGATGTGGTTTTATGATGCATCTTGGGGAGGTGAGGGGAGTATATCTCCTACGGTTACTGCATAGAAATCACAGCTTAGCCAGTTCAGAGTATAAGAGGATTTTGAGACAGACTACCTAATTTTACAGTCATTACTAGCAAGAGTACCTAAGAAATATTTCCAGAATATTCAGGCTTTGCACATAAGGCAAACTGGGCAATAACTGGATGGGATGGAGAAAGCAGGCTTTCTATGTCCATGCATTTTTGCTCCCCCATTTTCCAGCTTGGTACTGTTGTTAACCATCTGATCTTTAATGGGAGAAGCTGAGATTTAGGAGTCCATACGTGGACTGGTGTGTGACTCGTCACACATGTCCACAAACTGCCTCCTTATATCGTCCCTTTTACCACTGGTCAAACCCATGGAGACGTGGGCACCACACCAGTTGGCAGTAAACCCTGAAGGAGGATTAAAGCTCCCCTTGCTGTGCCCAGCACAGCGGTCTCTGCCCCCCGACAGCTCAGCAGTACAGGAAGACACATATCAGCTCCCACCACAGGCAAGAGGAGTTTTGTTCTAATTTTAGGGTGAGACTTCACTAATCTTCACAGCTGCTTCCTTGCCTTCACAGATGGCAGCCACATGCAATATCGAGCAGTCCTTTTTCAACGACTGGTTCACCGGGCACCTGAATTTTCAAATTGAGCACCAGTGAGTATGGACCCAGAATCATTTGGCCATTACCAGGTTGTCACAACACTGGACTTGAGGAGAGGGAAAGTCTGCTAAAGGCAGATGTGTGGGATGGGGCAGGATCTTTGGAGCACTATCGTATGCCAAGGAAAGAGAGTCCCAGACTACTGGGGGTCATAGTCTGTTTCTACTACAGGCATGGCATCTTCCTCTCTTGCTACCAAATACTTCAGCTTTCAGGGAAGTAATTTTAATCTGGGGTTTAGTTAGGAGTTAGCGATAGCTATCTACCAGTTACAGTGGCTATGGACTCAAAGCCTAAGCTAACTACTTGACCTTGAGTATCCATTTCAGAAATTTCCTCTCCCCTAAAGCACTTCAGCATTTTATAACGTGTGACAGCTGTGTGGGACTCTGTATCAGGAAAGATATTAAAACCAAGTCCATATGGACAGTCTGTTGCCAGTGGCAACAGAAAATGTAAAAGCAGCAGCTTTTAGGGTAAAGCTGACTCGTTTGGAAGTCAGCTGAGGAAATCTCTATTGAACAGCAGAGGGCAAGGTGATCTCAAATTCTTCTTTACCTGCTTCTCCATTCCATGAGCTTCCAGAGGTGGGAAACTGGGAATTCCATTTGGCAAGAAACAATTAGTATTGCCCAAAGGGAATAGGCAGCCATCTCAGCAGACTGAGGCTGTTTCCTCACTCTTCCTTCCCTCGCATTGCACTCATAGTGTCCTCTCTTGCACAAACCGACTTTCATTGTCTTTCTTGAACACAGCTGTGCTATGAGGCATGGTGGAGTGGCAGGAGAATCAATGCATTTGGTACTCAGAAGGCTCCTTGAAACAGAGGACTGTGAAGTATGGATATCTCTCTGTGCCTCTCTTGTCTGCTTGTACAGCCTGAGGAGAAGGCATTAATAATTAGCCCCTGTGAGGAGGCAGACAGAGATGCCCATCCCTTGGGGTTAGTCTCTAGAGTTTTCTCAGGTTTGTTTTCTCTTTCTCTATTTAAGCCTGTTTCCGACAATGCCACGGCACAATTTCTGGAAGGTGAAACCATTGGTGATGTCATTATGTGCCAAGTATGGAGTCAAATATGAAGAGAAGCCTCTTGGAAAAGCATTCGTAGACATTGTTGGGTAAGGTCCTTCTGGTATCACCTGCAGCTTGCAATTCATTGTCACAACCTTCATTTTCTAGTACAGAGAATTCAGGACTCTGTAGACCCTTCAGAAATACCATGCCGATATGTTGTAATTGGGTGTCACTAGGTTAATAATCTTCGTATCTCAGCCTGAGGAACACCTGCAGCAGTGTTGACCCGCAGCAGAAACGCCACAGGTCCCCTGATTTAGTGGACTAATGCCCACTGACAACAGATGGGAAGCTGCTTCACTCCATCGTGGGGGAAGAAACAACCGTCCCCCAGAGCAGCTTCTGCAACCACAGCACTGCTAACAAAGTTCCGAATATTTAGCATTTAGATGGATACTAACCTGATCCAATAGGGACCTTTTTTATAACACCTTTTTTTAAACACTTTTCTGAGAGCTGATGATTCTCACTTTCGGGAGCTGGCGACACATCTTCAGGCTGCAAAGTGAGATGAATCAAAGGGGAATGAGTCAGGTTACAGCCCGTGCTGTTTCCCATTTGAGCCCTGCCAGCAGCAAAGGGCGATTCGCTATAGGTATAGTTGAAGCCTAGGCTAATAGTCCTTGTCAGGCAGACACTGGGTTAATGTTTCTGTCTCAGTTACTCCAGGGGAAATAATTCATGACAGGGAACATGAGAAAGTATTCTGCAGGCCAGGGATCTCCACTCTCAAACCATTCCAAGCAACTGCAAATTAAAGCAGATTGGCCCCAACATATAGAAGGGCTGAAAGCTGTTTCAAAACCTCCTTTGGTCCTTTTATCCAGTTAGCACAGGAAAACGCATGCAATGCTGAGACCCAGGGGTGGTGTTCCCACCATACAGAGCCCCCTCTCCCTACACAAGTTCTCAGAAACCATCTCAGCAATTATTTGCCCTCCCAATAGAAGGATCATCTCCCGTAAACCATACAAAGCCACATTTCTAGCCTTCAGGCTGCACTCTGTCTGTTAGAGGACTTTTGGGCCCAAACCAGCTCAGATCTGTCCCATAATCTTTGTGGAGCTGATACAGATGGGAAATTCTGCATGAGAATTCCTGGGGGGAAGTGGGGAAATGCTTTTGAGGTGCAATCGGGTGAGCCCAGGCAATTCTGCTCCGCTGTTTATTCAGGGCTAGAGGGATTACAGATAATACAGTGGGCATCAGGGGAAGTTCTTGCTCACTCTAGATCTTTTTACTATATCTGCTGTACTGGGGAAAGACATTTGGTGTCCTAGGGATTAATTTTCAAATTCAGAAACATGCTGCTTTGTAAGAAAAAAAATAAAACGACAGAGGGAAGATTCACATGCCAAACAAACTTTTCGTTTTCTTTTCCACAGGTCCCTAAAGAAATCTGGAGATCTATGGCTGGATGCTTACCTCCATAAGTGAACATGAATCTTAATGGGGAGGTGTGAGTGACCAGGAGGGATGGGGGGGCTGCATGGGGGGGGGGGGAGGGAAATCACACACGTGTCTTTTACTCTCGGATTTCAGTCTATGTCTACGTGCACAGTTGGAGGGGAGTTTCCTGTCTTGTCAACTGCTACTGGTATGGGCTCAGGCAACCTGTTTAATCCAGACAGATTTAAAATGTGCTTCTGAGGATGAAAAGCAATGCCAGTATAGCACAAAATGGAGGGTTGGGAGAGGATGGAGAGGAGTGTTTCAAAAAGAGGTGTTAATATCCAACCTTGACCTTCTCTTCACAAGATTCATTCTAATTCTACTTAAACCACACAAGCCCCTGATTCACAGGCACAGAACAGTTGCTAGGCTTCAGTGCATGCTTGCAATCCAAGGACACCCCAGTCAGCTTATGCCTCTTTCCCCTTTCCCATGTTTGTGTAAAAGAGGAGCTCAGCACAGTTTCATTTTGTTATCAAGGAAAAAATAACATGGTCCATGATGCCCATCACAACGGGGAGCTCAGGTGGGCTGCGATGCCCACAGCTGCTGTACTGTGATGGGGCTTTCAGCCCTGCCCAGAACCTCCTTTCTCCCCCTCCTTTATTTCTCTAATCATAGCTCACTTTAGTAAAAGCTGTGATACTGATCCTGCACAACTAATATCTAACCACCTCTCAACAGGGTTAATATAGCTATATTGTTATGACCAGCCCCTATTTCCAGGGGTCTGTGGAAGATCTTTGGGCTTAAACAGCAACATGTCTTCTTTAGAAGAGGGTCTATTTCTCTTTAATGATCAACAGGTCTGGCACAGCATTAGGGTTGTCCATAACTTACACAAAAGATGTCACATAAGCAAAATTCACTAATTGCTCCTGAGTGCTCCAGTGTAACCACAAATGGTCTTTTCACCAGAGCAGTTCGGCAGCGTGCTGCAGAAACACATGGCTCTGTCCGTCTGCACATGCCTGGCAAAAACCAGGCCTGTTTCTGCTTGGCAGAGCCCAGGAGCCATGGTACTGGTTACCCTTCTTTTGGGAACAATCAGCAAAGAAAATGAGTTCTCCCTGCCTAAGGAGGAGCTGCCCAACCATTCAGCCTGGCCCCCTGGCCTGCCAGGAGGCAGCTGAAAACACCCGGCTGTGCTGGTGATACAAAACCTTCTGCAGAACCCTCTTGCAGGTTGTCTAAAACTCTATTGTCTGCCCAACACCTGATTACCAAAATCCATTAATGGTTTATTAGGAGATGTGGTTGAACAGCTTCCAGTTGCTTCTCTAACAGGCAACCTGATCCCAAATAAATCAAGGGCTTTAGATTCAGTTGTAAGACAACAGCAGAGATATAGCCTTTAGTTTATGATAAAGGGCCACGTTTTCCAAATCAGTCTCCAGTTCCAACAGATGTATCGTTGCTCACTCAAAACACACAATAGGGATACTCTAGTTATTAGGCAACGACTTTGCAAGCCTCATTACTTTGCTCGGCTCTGAAACTGGATCATCTCCATCAAATCCTTGCATGTGAACCAAGTCCCACAAACTCAGAAAGGCACTTCATGAACAAAGACAACTCCAAAAGACTGTGGCCAGCCACTTCAAAAAACAAATGTATTCCTCCCTCCCCCACCCTCTTTGGAGAATAAAATGAGATTATATCTTTGCTTACGGACAGGACATTCATAGGCAGAACTGCAACTTAAATTAGCTAGTAGTACTTAAAGTTTGTAAAGAGCTTATTCTGGTGTTCTTGCCCACCCCTAAGCTGGAAATACCTGAGTATCACTAGGAATAGTTAGGATGAAAAGCTGCTGTCTTGGGGTCTCTGAAGCTCAAACAGACTTTCGGCAAATTTTATAGTTGATTTCTAATAGCATAAACAATAATATCCTTCTGGGTGCTGTAATTTCCCATATAGGTAGTAATGAGCTAGCCTAGAATTGTGGCTAACATTGTTAAGACTGCCTTCATGTATGCATCTCTCTTGACTCCTTGAATGTATCTCTCTGTCTCTGCTCCAGCAAGGATGACCACGAGCACACAATAGCATCAGCAGTGCAATCTTTTAAATATTCAGCTTATTTTTCTGACAGTTCATATTTTTTCACCCCTCCAGTTCTTAGTTCCAGAGCAAATATTTTCTCAATACTGATGCTTCTTCTTCCTTAGCACTGTCCCCTCTTCCCCCTCTTTTTTCTTGGGAAACTGTTTGCTTTTTAACACCTTGAGAAACTGCAGAAAACTGGTAGCTCAGCCTAGGTAAATAGTCCTGCTTTAGCAGCTCGGCTTCCTTTTTGCCACTGACCAGTCTACTGGAAGGACTATTTTTCTGCTAAAACCCCAAAGTACTGCCCACACAACAGCCTGGCCTAACAGTACCTGGGAGACAGCAGCTACTGCTGCTGATGGCTGAAAGAACTTGAAACATTCAAGGAGAGCAACTATGCTGCAACACTCTGCAGAAGAAAAAGCCAGCTCTTAGACAAATGGGCATTTTTTTTTCCCAAGACCTTAGATGAGATACCCAAAGGAAAAAAGGGGGAAACAGGAGAGATCTTGATATCAGCTCTTCCCCAGCTACTTGCTTCTTTGACTCTTGGAAAATTCCCGTTTCACAAAAATCAATCAGTCACTCAAATCCAGAAATAAAAACTGTACAATGTTATAGACAGAACTGATTTCCAAGTGTTATGCATTGTCCTTGCTACTGCAAGAGAAAAAGGTCTGTTCTGCAAAGAACAGGTCACCAACCCTTTGTAATTAGCCTCATATTTCTCTTATTCATTGAAATTAAATGTGCAAAAAGTTTGTCTGGTGCAAATGTTAAGATGCTGGTTGCTTTCTCAGGCAAAGCCTCTCTGGCTCAAATAGTTTCTTCCCCTCTCTTCGAAATATCCCAGCCCTTTATCTTGGAATTCAAGCTCTTTTGTACATGTACATTAATGTATCAGTTCTCCATGCTTTAACTGGAGCAGGATCAAACAGAACCCTGACAAAGAATCCCTGGAAGTCTGAAGCAATCTGCTTCGTTATAATTTTAAGTAGCACCAAATGTAATCAGGTTTACAGAAGATGTTCCAGAAGTTTCAGTAAAACTGTAACCTTAGGTGGATATAAAGTTCACATGACCTTGCTTGGCTTTGTCTCCAACCTGGGCAAAATGCAGCAATCAATCACAGATGAGTGTCCCTTTGCAGGTTACAATTAGCCATCAAAATGTTTCAAACACAGAAATTTAAGTACAGTTTTGCCCAGCTTTCTAAGGACCGTAACTAACTGCTTTCTCTGAAAATAATGAGGTGAAATTTTTTACGCTTTCTCTCTTGGTAAAGGTCATTCATTTGCACTGTAATGAGACAGAAACACCCACACACACACACAAAAAAAAAAATCTGTAAAACATGCTGGGAGCCTGCCAGGGTTTATTTAATGCAGCTAAACCACATAACTGGCTACATGAGCACTTGGCAATGGAGAGGGGCCACAAGTTGGAAACACAGAGTTTGTTTCAGGGCAGTTAATAAAACAGTAGGCAGGAAAGGACGGGCTTTGCTTCTCTTCAGTCACTTGTTAGCAGGGACTGAAGTAGAAGCTGGAGGACCAGGATAGTCAAAGACAGCTGGCAGAGAAAGGCACTAAGTGAAGCAAGTGCAGCGAAAGCAAGAGAAGCCCCTGGGCAAGAGAGAGATGGGCATGTGTTCTGGGAGAAGAAATACAGAGATGGAAGAAATGTGGGAAGGGATCCAGCTGGGGAGGGATGTGTGATGGAGTGGGAGAAGAAACACCAAAGGGCAGGGAGAGAAGAAAAAGCAACTTGAAATCAGGTGTTCCATATTCTCCCATTCATCGCTAGAATCTGCCTGGACGAGAGTTTATGCTGGAGACACAAGGCGAGAAAGGGCAGAGCACAGGCTCAGAGGAGAGAGCAGAGGCTGGCAACATCCCTAGACATCTCGTGGTGAGCTGGAGCTTGCACCAAGCTCATCCTCCCCCAGCTCGAGAGCAGGGACCGGACAGGGGTAACACGCTCGGTGCCCTTTGACAGAGCGTCAGAGTCCCCCACGGAACACGTGCTTCTGCACACCAGCAAATTTTTCCATTTACTATGAGGGTGGTGAGACACTGCAATAGGTTGCCCAGAAAAGTGTTCTAAAGTAGGTTAATGCTGTAGCCTAGACCTTCAGCAACAAAAATCAACTCCACTGAAGGCCATAGGCCTGTGCCAGCTTTGTGAACTAACACAAAACCTAGCCCCATGTTTCCAGGCAGAAGCACAATGGGAATTAAGGGATTTAAAGACTGAGAATTTTCCTCATGGATTTGTGGAGTCTAAGATCCCAACTGCTTACCAAAATAGGGCCTGGAGGCTCAGAGCACCAGCAGAGTCTCATCAGGACATATCTCCAGACATCATAATTCCTTGCTACAGGGGCTGATCATACTGGCTGGATTTTAGGTTCTCATTAGGGCAAAGACATCCTTTTCTTTCTGTAACAAGTTGCCATGTCCTAGTCATGGCCTCTTCTAGTAGACTAGAAAAAAGCCTTCCTAACAGAGTCCTAACATTTCAAATGTTTTCTAGTAGCTGTTAAAACATCAAAACCACATTCCTTATAGGAAAGCTCCTGATTATTCTTAAAAAAAAAAAAAAAAAAAATCAGTAACTCAAAAAGAACAACTTTTTTCTTGTGTATTCTACCGCTCAATAAAATCATAACTGTTTGTTGACCATATAAATGCTTTATGTCTTTTTTCCAGTCACATCTAGAGTCCCTGCAGTGCTCAAAGATTCTGCTTCCTCTCAGAACACCTTCTGCAATACAAACCCACTAGCAGGTAGCACAGAGAAGGCAGCTAAGCTAGCTGGGACTTTTCTAGGGCATGAATGAATGTCACCATCCAGGTCTGGCTCTGAGATCAAGAACATATGTTAAAACTCAGAATTCTTACAGAGTCAGGGTAGGATTTGGCATGAAGAATGATTCAAGTCTGAATTTATGTAATTGCTGTTCTTATAACTTCAAAATCAGATCCTAGACCAACAACTATAAGAACACTGTGGAAGCAAACTCTAGAAAGGATTTGTGATCAGTCTTGCTGATTATGGCATCCCTATGTTTTTTCCTATGTTTTTTTTAAAGATGAGCTGTTAGCTAGTGATTGTGGAAAGTCCTTTTTTTCCACTTTGCAGGGTGAAATCAGTGAAATTACTTTTATAAGATTTACTTTTATAGCATAGATAGATTTCATCAGCCTTCACACAGCCCAGGAACAATGGCACTGCTTACCCTCATTTTGGGAACTAGTACCAAAGAAAAGAAGATCTTCCTGTAAAATGATTTGCCCAGCCACTCAAACTCAGTCTCCAGGCCATTTGGGGAGGCAGCTAAGAACAAAACTGATGTGAAAACTTCCATAAAGCTTCTTCCAATTTGTCTAAAACTCAGTTTTCTGCCCATTCATAGCTCACCCAGAGGTATGATAAGCAGCTTGCAGCAGTTTTTCTAACCGACAACTTGACTAATGCTTCAGTGGGCTTTAAGTCAACAGTATCAGTGGGCTTTCGGTCAGGCCAGAGGTTTTAACAGAACCCTGGGACTGTTAGTTCTTGCAAATAAACCCATTTGAACTGTACCACCAGATAGAGAAGCACCTAACAATGGAGAGAGGCTGCAAGTAGGAAGAGCATAGGCATAGGCTGTCCTAAGTCAGGCGACAAAACGATAGTCAGGAAAGGTCAGTCTATGGTTATTTGTTACCTTAAATCAATACTACAGTTTTCCAGAGTACACATTAATTGCTTCATAGGTAAACTCATTCTGCACAGAAAGCACTCTATGAGAAGTCATAGAACTCAAACCAGAAAATGACCCTACCTTGCCCCATTATTAGGACTTTTATTTGATCCTAGAATAAACACATTCCCCTAATACAAACACAGGGAGCTCTTACACAGAAATAAACTGTTACAAATGGATATATCACCTGGCTTTCTTCCCTGGGAGTACAGTCTTTTCCCAGAACCCCTGAGCAACCAAACACAACATAGCTTGAACCTCTGAGCATCCCAAGGCAACATGGCCTGAAGGGGACCAAGGACCTGATAGTTATGAGTTCGCATTCTGGATTAAGATGCCAACACCCCAGCCATATCTCACAGCTGTGCTAAAACCCTCTCTGCTTTTACACAGGGCTTGTACCTCTCCTAGGAAATCACAGGCATTAGTTGAAGTGCATCAAGTTGGCCAGTTTTCCAAGTTTTATCTTCCACAAGCTTAGGCTCTGCTTATCCAAAGTTCAGCTCATCCCTCAGATGGGAACTTGGGAAACATACTGCCTCTGTGAACCCAGTAGTACAACTGGCTGAGTTGGCTTTTTTTTTTTCTTTAAATCTGACTTTAAGTGTCAGTAAATTGTGACTGACTAAACTTTCCATGAGGTAGCTGAAATTAAGCCTGAATTTCAATTCCCTCCCTTGAAATTAGCACATGGATAGTAAGAAATTTAAGACATGAAATCAACATAAAGTGCACTTAATATTCTTATATTAAATACTCATATGCCAGGCATTGAGACCACCATTTCCAACTCTACTTTAAGCTATGTAACAGCCTAAACAATAGCAATATTTATGATTGGTAAGATCTACAAAGAAGCCTTCATCCATGAGCACTATTACTTTAAAAAAAAATCTGGTTTACTTACTCTGCAATGGCCTGATTCCAGATGTCTCAGGGAACTTTGTTTCACAACAGACCTAGTAGTCATCTCAACATGATAAGAAATGTGTCTCTGGTATTCATACATACAGTTTTTACCCAGATAGTGCAAGAAGGTACATTGTCACATAGCTCCTTCCTTGCAACAGGTTTTTAAAATTCTGCTCAGAAGAGTCAATGACAAGTTCAGCCTCTGAAGAAACTCAATTTTTAGTTCAACATTTGTGTTGAGGTTATATCATATTATCATACATTTTATTTGGCAGCTTGAAAAATCTGTCTGAATTCCTCAAGTATAATATAGAAACATATCCATACTATGTCCTACTTTCACTGTCCCTCTCTCCTAGCTGTTTTGCAGTTTCTGCAGAATAGGGCATAGGTGAAGTTTCCAGCCTCTTGTAAGGCAAGTATTTCATTCACATTTCCAGGCAGAGAATCATCACTTGTTTGAAAACCATGTTATAAATAGTAGTAAAGGGAAAATACAAAATTCCAGAATTCAAAAGCAAGCTGGGAGGTGAATCATTCCCCCCATGGCAACCCTAACACTGCTCTGGGACAGGTCTATTTACCACAGCGTGATTTTCCTTTGCATAGCATGGCGCACAACACTTCCAGCATCCCAGAAATTTCACCATTCAAGCATAGCAAGGTCTGAATCAAGATGTCATTCCTCTTCTTCAGGAAGACATTAAGATCGTTCATGACCCTCAGACACATCAATTGTTTAACAACCATCTGAAATCACTTTCTCCTGAAAGCCTGTGTTTTTAGAAGCACCACAATCCCCAGCCACCGCAGGAATCCAGTGATTCAGCTGGAGAGAGTCATGATTTAAGCCAGGAGCTTAGCCAGGAAAGGCAAGACACATGGGGAACATTTTGCAGAATTCTGACTAGACCTTTAACAGAGAAGGAGAAGACAGGCAAGGTAAAGGCAGGACATTAGAGAGTCCTTTCAGAAAATTGGTAAGAAGTCTTTCAAAGAGCATGAAGTTTATGATGCTGCTCAGCCTCTTACTGATGAATGAGACAGGGAGGAGGAAATTATGAAAAGATCTTATTTGTGTACAGAAGTTATTATTATCACATTTTGCTTGCTGACAGAATTAGGATAGGTGTGGACTTTGTTTCCTAAACACTGACCAGAAACAACAGGAAAACAATTACTCCAATAAGAGCTACAAGATACAATTCAGAGTGAGAAATCTACTGAGTCAACATAAATACATGACTGAGATTGCGGTTTAAGTGATTTATCTTTTCTACAAAGAAATCTGTTCTACATGGACCATGGGCTGGTCCATGAATTGTCTAAATTCACGTTAATTCTTTGAGCAACAGCAGTGTACTCAAGCTGAGAATCCAAGTCATATAAAAGGTTTAATTTAAAAACAGTCTTCCATAATCCTGAATAAAGATGTATAGCGGACATCCATTTCTATGTGGGTTTATAGGAAAATACAGTAATAGTAGTTCAAAAGTTCACAGATCCAGAAGAACAGCTTCAATATATTCACCATATACTTCTCTTTCTCCTATAAATATAATGTAAAAGGACCAGAGTTTCAGTCCAGTTATTACTATAGTATATCAGTTATAGCAACACACACATAAATCTATTTATGAGCAGTACATTATCATTTTTTTGCAATTAGTTTTCTTCATAAAGTCACTCCAGCTCATCACAGAAGAACATTCAACCCTGTGCTGAGAACCAGTGTTAAAAATATCAGTAAAATTCACTACTGGAAATAGGAACAGAGATGGAAAGCCTGTTGGCAAGCGTAACTCAAGGGAAACAACTACTAAAATGCATTCCACCAAAAAGAAACCACAAGCACCCAGATGTGACCAGCAAGATGAAATGCAGAAAAATGCTCATATCTGGGATCCTATTCTAAGATATGCAGGGTAACTCACCATGAATATGAAAAGTTAAACTTGTTCCCTGAAATACCATGGTGCAAGTTTGATGATTATAGATCCGATAAGTTGACTTTCATGGTAACAAGTGCTCTGTGTAGACAACTATATGAAATTGAACCATAAAACTAATATGTTCCAAAATTTTTACCTCCAGCTAATGTCTTTCCTGGACTTAGTGAGCGAATGGACTCTCTGACAATCAGGCATTAGTTTCATAGCCTTCTCTAGTCGCTGAACACATCTTGGATTACAGATTTGATCTGAATCAAGACACCTTTTCTAGCACCCCAGGGAGACAAACTGCCCATCAGCCTGCTGCAGAATTAAAGAAAATGTGTACCCAGTGAGAGGCAGAAAGCCCAAGAGGAGAAAAAAAAGAAAAACAAAAAAACAAAACAAAAAAAAAGGAGCTCAGATAATTAACTTCTGTTGCAGTTTTTGATCAGAATTAGCCAGTCAGTTTGGAGGAAAGTTGTGGGGTTTTTTTGTCTGGACTTAATTGTGTTCAACCAAAAGATAAGGTTATCCAGTACTCAAGACACTAAATCCAATGACAATATCCCACTACACCTACACATAGTGCTGATCCTGAGACAATGACGCTATTCTTAGGCTGCACTATACTTGGGGACTCCACCCAAGTCAGCAAGCTGTGTTATAAATAAAGGTGCTATCTAACCCCTGTGGAGGTTGCTTGGTTGCAAATATGAGCTCCACTGGTGCAAATGATGAATGTTTTCCTAAATACCCTGAGTTTTTATAGCAGAGCTCTTCTACCCACTGCTAACAACTAATGTTTGAATGTCAAGCACAGGCTAATCAGGTCCAGCCAAAGAAGCCGAGGGAGGTTCAGCAGAAATTCAAGACTCAAGGAACGAGGGGAAAAAAAAAAAAATCAATGCAAAGGATCCTCACACAGAAGGACCATCCTTGCCTGAAGCATCATTCTTAGCAAATTGGATAACTATGCAACTTACTGTCCAGGTGCTGAATTTGTATATGACAATGAGAAGATTAATTATAGTAATAGGTTGTGATTGCACACATCCTAGTTTAAGTAGGTGTGGCTGATCTACTTGTCTG